ACTGGCCGGACTTCCACCGGATGGTGGCCCCATCAACCCTTAGGCTGATTGCTGCTCCATTATGGTTTTTTATCTGAGCATGGTCACCAGCCACGGAAAAAAGAAGTTTGAGTCTGCGACATGAGAGGAACGGTGAAAAAGCGTTGCTTCACCATTCCTGGGTCTCGTGACTGCCGATCAGGGCTGTTTCTGGCCCTGACATGGCAGTTACGAGACACAGGGAAGGTTAAGAAACGCCGTTTTACCTACACCTTGTGTCTCAAACGCAAACGCCTTTTTTCCGTGGCAGTTAGGTGGGGTTCGTTTTTATTTATTTATTTATTTATTTATGTTTTTTCAGGAAGGTAAGTATTACAGGTAAGTATCTCAGGTAAGTATTTTTTCTTTTTTTCTATTTTCAGGTAAGTTTCAGGTAGGTAAGTATTTCAGGTAAGTATTTTTTCTTATTTCTTTTATGTTCTTCTTAGTCTTGTGTAGTTAGAGTAGTTAGTGTAGACAGTGTTTTTAGTGTAGTCAGTGTAGTAGAAGCAAAAGTTTGCTTCTACTATACACTGACTACACTAAAAACACTCTTTTCTTTTCCTTCTTTTTGTAAATTTATTATTGTTACTGCCCTCTTTAGAGGTGTAAATGACCTTAGATGCTAAAGCACCGCTTTAAAATAAAATTATTTTACTACTACTACTTCTTTTTCTTTTCTTTTCTTTTTTTCTTTTCTTCTTTTTTTCTTATTTTCCTCTTCTTTTCTTCTCCTTTTCTTCTTCTTTTTTCTTCTTTTTCTTTTTTCTTTTCTTCTTCTTTTTATTTTTTCTTTTCTTCTTTTTATTTTTTCTTTTCTTCTTTTTCTTTTTTCTTTTCTTCTTCTTTTTCTTTTTTCTTTTCTTTTCTTTTTATCTCTTTTTTAATTTCCTTATTATTCCCTTTTCTATCTTATCCCATTTTCTCCATCACTGTTTTGTCTCCTTCCCTCGTTTTTCTCCCTCGCACTTTTTCTCGTTTGAATTCAGCGGCAAGCAGTGTATCTTGCCTCAGAATTTTCGAACGGAGTCAAGAATAAGACGAAACATCCTTCTATTGAGTTTTCATTTCATTTCAAAGTTGTGTCGTTGTCTTCCATAATTTTTCTTAGTCCTTACTTTTTATTGAAGATAATAGGTGTCTAATTTGTTGATCCTTATTTGAGTAGGTGAAAGAAGCCACCAAGATGAAGAGTAATTTTTATTGTGACTGTAATTAAAACTGAACTGTGTCTGTTAGGTTGCAGGTTATGAGTTGCGTTGAGTCCAAATTGATTTTTATAATTTACCAAATGACGATATGGAGAGAAATTTAAATATTTTAAGATGAAAACTGTGTACTGAAATCAGGAGACCGAATTGGGCTTTTTTTCTCCATCCAAACACGTGTTCATCAGTGTGCCAATGTACCTATGAGTTTAAGTTGAAATAAATTCCGAATTTTTTTTCTAATGAGAAAATGAGAGAAGACTGAAGATATCCGGGAGAAAAACTCAGCCGTCTTATCACGGGATCTCCCGTGACATTGAATTTTTACTATTACAAAATTGCTTTCACACGCATTCGTTCGTAGGTAGGTTCATGAGCAGAGATAAAAGTTTTTCGCAAATTTATGAGATTAGTGATAAGTTCATCGCAAAGTTATGAGATGAGTGAGAAGTTCTTCGCAAATACATGAGATGAGTTGAATGTCTTTTTAAAAGCAGCTTTCTTTGCTTATGATTGAAATACAAGGAGTATCCGCCGTCTCAGCATGAATATGAACTACGATACACTCTGTAAATTATTATGAGCATGCAAATGTATCGGTCGAGTTGAAAGTGATTTTTACGAAATTTTGTTTTTGTTATGAGAGACATTTGAGAAACTGTATATTCAGGATAGAGTTTTACGCTTTTCTGAGATCACATTTATTTCAGCTTGCAGATTTTAATGCATCGAGCCAAAAGCTCTATTCAAATTTATGAGTCGAATTGAAACCTCCTTGCAGATCTATGAGTCGAGTTGAAAGCTTTAGTTAACTTGTGCAGATTTATGAGTTGAGTTGAAAGCTTTAGTTAAGTTGTGCAGATTTATGAGTTGAGTCGAAAGCTTTAGTTAAGATATACTTCGTAATGAGAGAATTTTGAGAACAATGATGATCCCTTGAACAGAAATATTGTGACAGAATGGCCTGAAATTTTATTGTCCTTGCCGCATTTAGATCTATGAGCTGAGACCGAATTAATTTTTACATTATTTTTACCTCCCTCGAGAAATCTGAGGGGGGGGGGGGGGGAGGGTGTTCATAGATTCAAAGACCAAAACTGTAAATGTCAGTGACTGAATCGTTTGCAATATTCTCTATCAAAACACATCCGCATTCAGATTTTTGAGCTGAGTTGAACGTAATGGTTTGGTTTTTATGTTTATGATAAATCAGGAAAATTGGAGAGGAATATATGTCCATTCTCCGATGTAAATATTTACTGAGTCATTATTTTATATTACTAATGTAAAGTATTGATACATGGCATAGAAGTTGTAAAATCGAAAAAACGATCTCAGCCTGCAAATCTACAGATCAGAGGCTTTCATTTAAAACAAAAATCATGCAAATCGGTCCGGTGGTTCTCTCAAAGTTAACGTCCAAAGATTCGGACCTCCGTTTTAATACATCGGAGAAAATTTGAGAAAATTATAGGAGAAAATTTGAAAAAATCGGAAAACAAATTACAGCCTGCAAATCTACAGCTCAGGGGCTTTCATTTATAAAAAGATCAAGAAAATCGGTCCGGTGGTTCTCTCAAAGTTAACGCCCCAAGATTCGGAACTTTGCATTTTAATATATAGGATGTTGATGCTCTATAACCTCCTCCGGACGCCAAACGTCCAGGTTCAATAGAAATAGTATTGTTCGGGCAGCATAGCATGTGTGGTCAGACCATTGAACCTATGACAAATATTTTCTTGAATTACAATCAGACTTTATGATAATGAACATGCTTAAGCTCTATTTTTGTTTGCTTTGAAATGAACGCGGAACTAAAAATAACCACTGAGTTACCATTTATATGTTCCTGATGTGAATCTAGTCGACTCCTTAAAACTATCAATCTCTCACTCAACCATTTTTATTTTATTTTATTGTTATTCATTATCGTGTACATTTTGAACATTACTTAACATGGGCAGAATTTAAATCAGCGTAGACAAACGAATCTGTGTCTTCAACCAATATTAATTAGTATTTTACATCTTTTTTGGCCAAGTTTTTCAGTTCAGTCTCAGTTATAGTGTTGTGAGTGCTTTCAGCGTGGCGTCGGGCAATTGGATAACCTACTGCTGGTACGTATCTAAAATTTTTACTTTTTTCTTTTCTCCCCTCTTAAATTTGACCTAATCTTAATCTTGCCTCCGAATGAATTCACTATGGCAGCTGAAACGAACTCTTCATTGAACTGCATTTTGCAATGAGGAACTGAAATGTCTGGATCATACATCGGAGAACCTATCTTTAAAGGGGAAAATGACTCGTAAGTCGTTTTTAAATAGGCAGAAATTGTAGTTCCTGGTCGCACAATGTACTGGCGAGCTAAGGAAAAACGCCGTATGAGCCTTTAGACGCTGCCACATTTCCTTCACTGAAAACCGAATTTACTGGTATAATTTTGCATATTTTTTTCCAAAATGTTAAGACAATTTTGTACGCAGTTTAATCTAAAATATCTGAAAATTTCAAAGAAAAATATGCATGAATGTCCTCAAAAATACGTGTTTTATCAGGGGAAATTTGGCAACTCTCGAATGTTCATACGGCATTCTTCCTTAGCACGGCAGTGTAGTTCTCTTATCGTTATCGCAGAAGAACATGGAATCATGATGTCATGGTTTGATTTATATCTGGTCAAAATTGCGTCTCGCTCGAATTTAAAATGAAATCTACTGATTTAAATCTTCGTCTTCTGAAAAACATAACTGGTGTGGCAATTACTGCTCGTGCTGCGACGCGACGCAGCGGTGAGCGTTTCGCGAAATACAAAATTACGTTGAATTGTGTTTTAATTGAAAAATGTCGGGAAGGCTGTAAAGTCGGAGGGTATGGATTCGATCGACATGAGTCGATCGAAAAATGAAAACGTGAATCGATCGACATGAATCGATCGACACCGATTCGATCGACAAATTGTTAAAAAAACCGGTGTCGATTCGATCGACCGAAAAACGAAAACGTGAATCGATCGACATGAATCGATCGACACCGATTCGATCGACAAATTATTGAAAGACCGGTGTCGATTCTATGGGTTTGTCGATCGACTCACGGCTTTTGTCGATCGATTCGTGGGTTTGTCGATTGATTCACGGCTTTTGTCGATCGAATCGGTGTCGATCGATTCACGTCGATCGATTCACGTTTTCATTTTTCGATCGATTCATGTCGATCGAATCGATACGCGGGTGTTTTTAAATCAACTGTCGATCGAATCGGTGTCGATCGATTCATGTTGATCGAATCACGTTTTAATTTTTCGATCGATTCATGTCGATCGAATCGATACGGGTGTTTTTAAATTAACTGTCGATCGAATCGGTGTCGATCGATTCATGTCGATCGAATCACGTTTTAATTTTTCGATCGATTCATGTCGATCGAATCGACACCGGTCTTTTAATAATTTGTCGATCGATTCATGTCGATCGATTCACGTTTTCATTTTTCGATCGAATTATGTCGATCGAATCGACACCGGTTTTTTTTAACAATTTGTCGATCGATTCACGTTTTCATTTTTCGATCGATTCATGTCGATCGAATCCATACCCTCCGAAAATATTCACAACTCCCCTAAAAAATATACACATACATTTGGAACACTAAAGTTAACTGGTACCCCGGTAGAGAGCGTTTAGAGTGTCTGCAGAGAGTGCAGCTGCGAGGTCCAAGTTAAACTTTGCCGCCGAGAGATGGCGTTACTGTTTACAACTATCTGCATAGTATAATGGCGGCGTGGTTTGGAAAGTGAAAAGAGGGAGTGTTTTTTGTTCCGATTTGTTTATATTCATATCTTCCAATATGAAATTCTAAGTTTTGTGCGATTTATACGATTTGTGTGTTAATAATTTTTATCCTCGTGGCTTTTGTATAGACTGTTTAACATGTAAGTGTTCTTATTAAGTGATAAACCCGTAATCAAAGTGAATATTTCCGTATCAATCAGCGTAGGTTATCATATCTGCGGGGGGTTTTGTCGGCGAAGAGTAGCTTGTTTTTACTCGCGCGGTTTCTCTAACGAATCTTTTCATTCATTTCGAATATTAACAATCGCAGGGCTACTTCATCATCTACAATTTCGAATTGCCTATCCATCAATATCTCTCTTTCCTCACTTTAAATACCTGTCAATCGGTACTAGCACTCCCTTTTTGTTTACAATCCATTATCTTCATTATCTCTGAATTTGCTATCTTAATTTCGGAGAGCCTCCAGATCAAAACCGAATCAATGCTCGTTTGAATCTACAGACAAATGCTACAATTCGGATGTATATTTAAATTTCATTACTGGGTATCAATTGATATCATCTTGCATGCTGTGTGCCCTAACCAAACTCTCCCTAAAAATCAATACCAACCTATCTTGTGTTATTTTATTTTCCTCCCTCAAATTTTGATACCTCAATTCTTTCTCGTCCATCTATTTTCATTCATTTAGTCTTGTGCACTAACTTTTGATGGTTTTTGCATTGACTCTTTCATATTTTCTGTAGTTCCCTTTGGGGTAATAACTCTTCTTATCAAAATGCCCCTTATGATGTCTCTCTGGAACGAAGTATTCTTGAGCTCCCTTTCCGCACCTTCAATTTACGTCTCTTAAATGTAATTCAAAGACACTTGAGGTATTCATTATGGCTGACCTTTATCTCACCAAGCACTATTAGCCGGTTATAGGTTCGTTATCACATATATTTGTCTGGACCATAATATCCATTTTACCATTTGCCACCGTGTTTTAAATTAAACCTGTTTCTTCGCCTTATCATCAATCATATTTATTTGAGCACAAAACGGCGGTTTTTACTTGCTGATTAACAGTGTCAAACAACTACTAAGTATTGATGTTCATTCATTAGCGATAGGGCGCTGCGTAACTTTCATACCTAACTTGACAGGTTTTTTTCTCATTGCTTTTAGTTTTTCTCTGAAACTCTGACCCTGTTTAGTGTCCTCCAAGTTTTATCATGGATTGATGATCTGTGCGCTCCAGAGGTACAAAGGGGTGAAGGTTGATGATTGAATAATCAAAAATCTTGAAATGATTTCCTTTTCACTTTTCTCTCGTAGAGGGCTATAGAACTTCAGGCAAGCCACAATTTCAGCGACTCATGGTTGATCTTTTTATAAAACGCAGTTAAATCACAGAAATGGTCAAGTAGATTGTTTGGCTCCTGGATGTGGAAGATTGTCAACTCTAGTCACAGGAGTAGTTCCTATAGTCACTTGAAAATCTTTGAATGGACGAAGATTAAAATCTTTGTAAAGATTTCACTAGTCTGCAGCTACTATCAAAGTGCACAAAGTTTATGTGAATTTATGATTGGACCGTATGAGTATTTATCAAAGATTAATATTGTTGCTCTGTCCGTACGTTTCTGTAAAGAATAATGGATTATGTTTATCTAAGATGGTGATCAAGTTATTGCTTTTTTTTTTTCAGGTCAAATCATGATTTTTGTGCGGTTATGTTGAATCGGAAGTAAATTTTGCGGAAGTCGGAAAAGTTCTACCTTCTGACAAGGAGAGCAGCAAAATGGTGAGCCTCTTTCTCATTTCATTAGTTAGCTTTTAGACAAAGTAATTTCAAAAGATGTGTTGTCGAAGTAAACTGTTTAGAACTGTTTGGAAATGGAATTGCCTGATTCCAAACGGTCGGCATTGTTGGACTTCGTTAGAATTACCCGATGACTTGTGTTTACACTTGGAAGCCGAATATTTCTACGAAACGCTCAACGATCTCAGACGGTTGATGGGACCGTTAGGTTGCATTTGCAAACAGAAGAACCAAACGGAATCGAACAAGTTTACTTTGACAACGCATCTGAAGTTTTTGACACCTCTTTCCTGCCATGCGTCACTGAACTGTATATGCTGAGGGTTGGCTAAATGGCTATACAATGGACAAGTGTAGGTAAAGTTCCTGACGAAACATGGCTATTGGCATATGAATTAAATAACTTCCAACCTGCAAAATGAGGATCCTGGTTTACATTGAAACATCTGTTGATCAGGTATTGGATACTCCAAAAATTACAGCTGAGCCTTCCAATCATAGTCTGAGATCTCTCAAAATTCCAGGCTGCAAATTGCTATTTAGCAGGCAATGGCAGTAATATCTATAAGGATTCTGCTAATATGCATAACAAGAAGCAGCCGGAAGTATTGTTCAATTTTCTTTCACTGGGTGGAGAGATTTATTTTTCTTCATAAGCAGGTGATGAGCGGAATGCAATTTTCGAAGACCTCTTCAACCTAAAGTTAAAAAGCCTCCGTGTAGTGTCAATTCAATCTCTCAACTCCTAACTGCAATGAATGATTTTCCCTTTAAAGCAAGTTCTTAATCCCTGAATCTCATTGAGTCCGATGCCAACGAAATACCTAGCTCTGTTTCAGTTTTGAGTTAATATTCTTCGCAACCACTGAAGTAGTCTGTTGTTTTTTTCCATACCTAAGTAAAAAAATCTCTCCTTGCAATGTTCCTCACTCACTCTCTCTCCTGTAGATGAACCTAGAATCCTGTATCCTAGATCCAGAAAATTAAAACTTCAATTAAACAGTTTAAAGTTAAACTCACGCTCAATTTTTCACTCAAAATTGAGCATTCTTTTTTTCTAGATGTTTCATGATATCAGTCTCACGAAACTTTAAGATTGAGTCCCCAAAAATTTTACAAAATTTTACTTTGAAATTTCGTTAGTATGAAAGTAATGATTTTTTGCATCCCAGAAGAGATTGTGTGCCTTTATACTTTTTTTGCACTTCGCGGTGTTCCTCTGAATGGGAATACCGTGCTAAGGAAAAGCACCGCATGAGCATTCGAATGGTGCCAAATCTCCTCTCAGAAAGATTTTTTTTTTTTTTTTTTAAGAAAGTCCCTAAAATTTTTCTTTAAATTTTTAGAACCTCAAATCAAATTATGAACAAGATTCTGTGAAAAACCGTGCAGGATTCTGTAGCAACTTCCGTGAAGTTTTCGGGAAAATTTGTGATTAGTCGTAGGAAATTTCGCAACGTCTGAAGGTTCATACGGCGTTTGCCCTTAGCTCTGTAGAAAAGGTGAATAAACCTTGCACCTACCTAGAACGTTAAATGTCAAATCGGACTCCGGACACTGCTGCACTCTGGCGACGAGTCCGAGGACTCGAAACGGATCGAACTTCACGCTGACTAAAGCTGCCACCTCGTGGGATTGAAACGAACTAAAACTTTCGTGACTGCAGCTGCGTCGAGTAGCGTAGTACAAACGTAGTACGCGCGCTAGGGTTGCTTTTCATCTGAGAGTGGAAAGCCGGGAAAGCTCGATTCACGCAGTTGCATCTCCTGCCCCGCAGATGTCGCGTCGGAAGCAGAAGCGTTTCCGGATATTTTCCATCCCAGGTGGGGGTCGCCCGCCCCACCCACTCCCCCTCCCTCACATTCATCGCGCTTCTGTAATCTCTTCCCGTCGTTTAATGGACCGCACCCCTCTCGCTTTCGCACTTTTGAATTTTTCCCTACCACCAGGGGCTTGACCCACCCCTGAGTTGCGTTTTCTTTCGAATAGAGCTCTTGCTTGTGTCAGGAATTTGCGATTTGTCAGGTTTGACAGTCAGGGAATACCGGAATAACCGGGAAATTTCAGAGAATTTTACAAAGTCAGGGAAAATCGGGGAATTTCCGGGAAAATAACGAAAATGTCAGGAAAAACTTTTGGGTCACCTTTATTTGCTGTCTGGAACGGATTTGACGTTTCAAACAACTTATTTTGTCTGAAACTATTCCTAATAATATCTTACCAACCATTTGGCACATATTAAGTCGTCAGGGAATTACACCCAAATGTGCATGGGAAATGTCAGGGAATTTCGTTTTCTAAATTCTGTGGCAGCCCTGATGAGTTCTAATTCTGTGTGAAATTTTGGGACAAACACGATGGTGCAACTGGTTTTCTCTGAAATCAGCTCCAAAGCTCAAAAGAAGCTCTCAAAGTTGAGGTTGTAATGGAGGGCATATCCCACGCTATCCTGAGAGGCAATCTCTCCATGAGAAGATAGGGAGCAAATACATAAACAGTGTTGCCACTTGGTTTGGGAACTCCAAACCTGAAAACACGGCATTGCTGTCAATGTATTTGCTCCCTATCTGTGCATCTGTGCATGGAGAGTTTGACAAGATGTAGAAGTACATTAACAGGGTTGCCATGTTTTTTCTTTTTCTTTTTTCTTTTTTTTTTAGCCTGCAAAAAAAGTGGCAGCTCCCTATCTGTGCATGTAGAGTTTGACTAGATGCAGCGGTGGACTCTCAGGAGTGTGGGATAACCCCTCCATTACAGCAAGAATTTTGAGAACTTCTTTGGATTTTTGGGGTTTGCATTAGGGACAACTAGTGGCACCCTCGTGTTTCTCGCGAATTTTTACGCATGAAACATTTCTTAGATCACATTCGATAGGTTTTAATGGCGGATCGATCGATTTATCGCAAAACACGCCACGCCGCTACAATTAAGCTATGCTAATTCGAGCGCATCTGCCATGAGAAATTATTTTTCCTAATATTAAGGTGATTCGATGGACGCCATATTTTGTGTCAGAACGGCATGCTATATATCGCATCAATTGGTTCCATTTTTTCGACCACTCGTCATTTTTCTCCAATTTTGAGATCGCAATTCTGTTGTCAGGAGACTAAAGCACTCACTTACCAATTGTAATAAAGAAATTCAATGTAATAAAGGCGTGGTTTTTTTAGAGAGAAAATATCGCATTCGATACTGATATCGAAACTGCCCTCGAATGCAATATTTTCTCTCTTAAAAAACACGCTTTTATTACGTTGAATTTCTTTGTTAAAATTGGTAAGTGAGTGCTTTAATCTCCTGACAACAGAATTGCGGTCTTAAAATGGGAGGAAAATGACGAGTGACTGAAAAAATGGAACCGATTGATGCGATATATAGCATGCCGTTCTGATACAAAATTGGCGTCCATCGAATTACATTAATTTTCTTCTTTATCCTCATTCTATTCATTGCCAACTTAAAATGTTTGAAAACGGTATTTTTATTATTTAGATATCAGATTAACGTTCCCCATGGATGAAGAAGCGTACGGTGCTAGGGCTGTGCACTGTGTAGGGACGTCCAACGTATCAAATTACGCATAAGCTGTAACCCACATTTTAAATTTTATTTTTTAAAAAAATTGAAGGAGATACTTGCTCTGAATAGAGCTGCAGAAATTGAATACTGAAAAATTCAAGCTTCTCTTCCTCGAAATGAAGGCAGTAAGGGTTGGTCCATATCCGTGTAACGCTATCCGCAACTGTTCCCCAACTTTTTCGTGGGAGCAAATGAGCAAGCTCCTGAAAAGGGGTAAAACATGTGAAGGCGTCTGGAAGTGGGAACAAGCTGCTGGTTCCAACACTACTGTGTTGGAGAGCTCGCCTTTGGGAAACTATTAACAACTATTAATGATTTTTTCTGAAATTGTATATGTATTAAATGAATCTTTACCCAATTATCAGAGGTTACATGCCGATGCAAAATGTTATGACGTAATTTTATATGACAAATTTTTCACATTACAATAAATAAAGAGAAATAAAGAGAGAGAAATGGAATTATCTTTTATGAATGTGATTTTGCGGCAAATGTTGCAATGGCTATTTTTGCCATCGCATTTTTGTTTCTGGCTTTCATCGTTGATAAGCTTTTTCTTAACTTGTCAACAATGTAATGAAATCATATGATTTAATTTTAATTTTTTTTTTTAAATCAAGTCGCCAACTTGAATTAAGGTTATACTTTGTTAAGCTGGCAGTCTGGAACTCTGAATTTTTATCGGCACAGAGTTCAAAGAAACTATAATTTAGCACGGTTTGGAGGAACGTTTCTGCCATAATTCTTACACAATACTTATGGTATACACTAAGAGCTGAAAAGGAATTCACTTGAATTTTAGCGTGGAGCTCGAGAGACCACTTCAAGCCTTTGTATGCGAGTGGCTCAATGGAGCACATCACGCCTTTGTAGGTATGGGGTGGCTCAATGGAGCACCTCGCGCACTATAAATAGCACGGAGCTCGAAAGAGCACTTCATGCATCTGTATTTTAAGGTTAAAACGAACTCTAAAGAAACTCAATGCGAGGCTCAAACGAATTCTCAAGCATTCTAAATGCGAGGCTCAAACGAATTCCCAAGCATTCTTGATGCGAGGGGCTCAAACGAATCCTAAAGCATTCTTAATATGAGGTTTAAACAAACTCTGAAAGGATCCCAATGCGAGTCTCAACCGAGCTCTCAAGCATGCAATTATTTTGAGGTTAATTAACCTTCTATGGTACCAATAACGGCAATCTTAAGGAGTATCCATTAATTATGCGCAAATCTCAATCTTAGTCTTAGTAACTTAAAATTAATTGAACAAATTATTAAATCACGTCGAGGTCACCATGTTTTTTATTTTAAGAAATAATAACAATTGCAAGTACAACTGCACACAAAAACTGCATTGAATAGATAAGAGGATGATAACATACAATTAGGTTATTTGATATAA